TCTCCCGGAGGTCTGGAGCAGGGCGGCTCCCGCTCGGGCCCCTCTTCGGGGGCAGAATGAGGAACCGGCCTCGGTAGCGCAGTGCTCCGGCGTGAAGTGCCAGCCGGGGAAGTTGCAGCGGCGTTGTGAAATACTCCCAGCTGTAGAGAAAAGGAAAAGCCTTATTTTTTTAAAAAAAGACATTATTTCTGTCTTAAATGAGGAGCCAGTTTGGCTTGTGTCTTCCAACTTCATTGCCCAAAGAAAGAGAAGATAAAGAGAAGACCGGCCTCGGTAGCGCAGTGCTCCGGCGTGAAGTGCCAGCCGGGGAAGTTGCAGCGGCGTTGTGAAATACTCCCAGCTGTAGAGAAAAGGAAAAGCCTTATTTTTTTAAAAAAAGACATTATTTCTGTCTTAAATGAGGAGCCAGTTTGGCTTGTGTCTTCCAACTTCATTGCCCAAAGAAAGAGAAGATAAAGAGAAGATGCGGCCGTTGTTGTGACCGTTCTGTTTCCAAGGCTGCGAATGGCAAGGATCCCCATGCGAAGGAGAAACGTCCCATGAGAAACGTCCCCAGCGCAGCTAGGACTAGGAAGGGCAGCGGAGGAAGCCCCAGTCCCTGTCTAGAGTCTTTGTGTGGAGTCTTTAACAGGCAGTTTAACTTACGGTGTTTACCTTCACCTCTCCTTTCTGGAGGGAGTGTTTGGAATGCCAGACTGCTGCTCAGGAACGCAGAAGCTGGGACATCATCAAACACAGCGCTGCGGAGCCAAAGAGCAAACCCTCCTCCAGTCTTGCAGGGAACAGAGCCGAGCACTTGTCCACGCGGGAGGGTTCCCAGCTGTGGTTCCCCCATGAAGGGGGGTGCGTGCCCGGATTTCATTGCAGCACCCGAGATCCGGAGAGAAGTAAGGTTTTTAGCTAGGCTTCACTAAGAGAATTAAGTTATTCCCGCTGAAAGGAAGATCCTGGCTGAGCACAGAGATACTGAAATCTCTTTCTCTCCTCTGGATAGTGGGGCCAGTTGGTTCATTTCTTGCATCTGGCTCTTCTTCTGCAGGCACTAAATGCCAAAGTACGGAGCCTACCGAAAGCGCATCTCATCTAAACAGTTCCTACGTGCTTTTCCAAGCACTGCAAAGGAGGCAAGAAAGCGCATGGAAAACCCATTACAGCATAGCCACGAGGGGAAGGTCACTCTGTTCTCTTCTGTAAAGTGAGTGGAGGACACTTGTAAGAGCCGGAATAAATTAATGGCGTCTGGCCTTGATTCACCCGTGAGTTCTTACTGAGCAAAGAGCTCAAGCTCACGCTTGGCTCAGCGGGGCTTATTGCAGTGCAAATTCCCCCTGAAAGCCAGTCCTGCCACTTGTGAGGAAGAAGAAATGTTGCTGGGGAAACGAATCCACGTTAATATGATTTACCAGTAGCGTGCTACAATACATAGGGGTGTTACTACAATGAGCTTGGAGGTAGGAATTGCTAGGGATCCTGCACCAAACTGCACCTCATCGGCTATGAAATGACAAAAGAGTTCTTGTAGGAAACTATATAATAAATGTTTGAAGCATTCCTGAAGAGAGCATTTGCCCTCCTGTATCATACTAAGATGGTGTGAGAAATTATTTTCCTTAGAGTATTTCTACAGGAATTTTCATTAAAAAGTGAAAGACTTTAAACACTTCCAGGAAGTATGATCTGAAGCACTTGCACTTCTTTTTTTTTAGGGGTCTGCATGGTTCTTGGTCTTTTTTTTTTTTTTTTTCATAACAGTGTATTGAAATAAAGTAGCTGCTTTTAGAAGAATGTAACGAAAAGAGTATGTTTATTATGAGTACTCCAAGTGTAGGCTTGGAGTTAATACCTTGCAGGGTTAATCTCTAACTATGAACCAACACTGAACATGCCGGCAACTTTCCGAAATGCATTCTTTAAAAGTTCCTTTAAAGTAGGTGCTCTCCCAGTTCACTTGGAGCATCCCAGCTCGCACAGTCTTCCAGGTTCCCTCTACGCTTGCTGGAGGGAGGGACGTCTCTCCGGGAGGTAATGCAGCCATCACATTTTGGGAGGTGAAGCCCACAGAATGGCACCTTTCTTAGATGTCTACGCGAGCTGGACTGACACCGTGTGTACGCTCCCTGACTTCACTGATCTTAGGCTAGATTCCAAATTTTTCCTTTTCTTAGATGTCTACGTGAGCTGGACTGACACCCTGTGTACGCTCCCTGACTTCACTGTAATTTCTGATCTTAGGCTAGATTCCAAATTTTTAGGTGTTTTCATTTAGGTGAGAGATTCAGCTTTCCCATTATGCCTGGAGAATGAGGGATATTTTGCATGGGTTCTGACCAGAAAACTCAAATAATGTAGTGCTATAAAATGCAAATTAGGAAGAGTCTGTCAGGTTTATGTAGTGAAATGCCCTTCTAGGGAGGACATCATCATGGACAAGTCCTGTGTTGTGGGAGCAGGGAGAGATTTCTCGCTGGTTTACGCACTGCTCCTTTGGGTGTCACTGGACCTGAGCTGACCTGAGCTGGCCAAGACCTCACATGGGGTTGCCATCGCCAAGGCAGCTGTAGTTAGTAGAGTGTTACTACAAATACAGTAAAGGACAACTTTTCCCAGGGACATAAAGGAGTGTGTGGCTAGCTAGCTTACCCGCTGATGTTTCATCTTATTTACCTGTATGCTTGGCCAAGCTAAGGTCACAGGACACCTCGTGTAAGATCAGGCTTTGTTTAAACCTCTGCTTTCTTGCAGTGAATTGCTTGGATCAACATGTCCAGAAGTGTCCGGACAGAGTGGCTTTGATTTGGGAGAGGGATGAGCCTGGATCTGCAGTGCACGTTACATACAGGTACGCCAGCTTCTCACAAAGCTTCACGATGCCTCACAACGTTGCAGGCCTGGGAAGAGAGTTGCTTCTCTGAAATCTGATGTCTGTGATGCTCTGCTTTGTTGCTGAGTCGTTGTATCATGATAAGATAGCTGGAGTCATGTTCCCACTCAGAAGTGGTTTTCTTACCTTCATTTCCTCATGAGGAGGTCTTCCTGATCTTAGATACCTATATAACGTATGGCAGGATAGGAGGTAGAAGGATAGGTGCCAATTAGTAATTGTGGCTACAAGTGCTAGGGTTTGCTAGAAGGTGGCAGCCTTCAAACGTATTTACCCCCTCCATGGTGTGTACCTTCAGTGAGACTGCAGGCCTGCCTGCAAAAATGCCTCTGCATTGACTCTAGGAAGGGTTAAAGGTTGCCCAGATTTGTATGTTCCTTAGTGCTTCCCTGAGGCAGCTCCATGATTGATCACCCACTGGATCAGAGAGCACAGGAGACGTACAAAGACCTGCCATTTGACTCTTAGTTTTACAAACCATTTTCTGCAGCATGAGGACAGATGGGATTCCTGAAACATTTTGACTGTAAATAGGTTTCAGCCTGTTTCACCTTCAGCATTTATCAAGCTTCTAAAAGCATCGTTGATTGGAGGGAAAAACCTGGTCAGCAGGGAGCAATGGGTGTAGGGATAGCTATGAGAGGTTAGTACAGACAGCAGAAATAAATGCTGGCTTTTATGTAATTGTAGAGGAAGCTGCTTGATCTTAATCTCAGCATTGTTATTTGACCTGCTCTGTAAGTATAAGTGGGTCGCAACCTGCTTGGTAGCTTAGCTAAATGCTTTGAATTTTGCTTTTGCCATCCTGTTAGTGCAAAAGGAGGCAGAATCTAGGGTTTCTCCTGGAGCTTGGTGTGATAAATGTACTTTAATGTTCTCTTCATGTCCTAGGTGTGAAAATGGGGTAGATGAGAGGTGGGAATTGGCTGATGTGCTTTGCGCTCTGGCTATCCTGAGAGGATGTGTTTGGAGGAAAGCCTATTCCTGCTTGCGGACCTGGGATTGTAGTGGCTTGAAGACAACTCGCCCACTCTGAAAACTGAGTCCATCTTTATGAACCTGTGTAAAGATATGATACCTAGCAACCAAAAAAGGAGAAAATTGGGTGAAGGACAAGTTGGCAACCTTGGCTGTCAAATTCTGAGATCCATGTCCCTGTTTCTGTCTGATGCTGGTGGTACCCATGGTGAGATGTGGCTGCATTCTGGTGACACATTTTATCAAGAGAATTTCCATGAGGTGGAAGAACAGATTGCTCAACTCTCCACATCTCACTGCTAATCAGGAATGGCTGTGCTGAAAGCCGTGGCATAGTATGGGTGTATGCAAGGAAAGAATAAAATGTTTTATCTTGAAATAACAGCCTCTCCTGTGGACTTTGGGCTGTATTTTAAAACGTTTTTGGCTGGTAGGGTTTTCCAGGGCCTGTTGGTAGTGACCTCCCACTTAAGTTGACCTTAGTTGAAAATATTTTGAATTGACATCTTGTTTATCTAGGAGTTTTGTTGGGGGATGTCTATTAGAAAAAGGGGTGGTGCAGAAGTTGTGGTGCCAGTTCAGGAATCCTCAGCAAGCCTTCTGCAGTAGGGTCATCTCTCCATGTGGGCTGCAGTAAAGCTGCAGCTATGAAGGAGATGCTGAACTTCAGGAGGACCTAAACTCTGGTACAGATCTCTGCTTGCTGGGCTTGCTGGCCAGCCTTGAGGCAGATCCTGGAGGCTCAGCTTGGACGTGTCTAGGTTTAAGCCCTAGGCAGTACAGTGAGCCCATTTGCTCCATTATCTGCCTTGCCAAGCTGGTTGCTGCGAGCATTTTCTTCTTCCTGATAATCCTTGGGAGGCATGAGGAAAGATAAAGCTGCTGGTGTGGATGCGCTCCCTACGCCTCTGGGGAGCTCAGTGGCAAGCAAACAGCAGAGTGTTTTCCCATCACAGCTTGCACAGGAAGCGAGCTGCAGGAAAAGGGCAGGAATTGCTTCTTCCTCAGGGCTGTGCACTTGATTGTTGAAGCAGAAAGGCCTCTTCCACGCACTGGCTGGAAATGCAGCAGTGTTTGAAAGTGCTGCCTGAGGCTACTCAGGCTCAGCAGAAGTAAGAGCCTCTCTCTGCCTCTGCTACCCCACTGGCTGCCTGGCTTGCAGCGGGCAAAGCGAGTGCTGCTGCAGTCCTGCACAGCTGCCAGCCAGGCAGGCTGTGTTTATATGATTGTGTTTAAATACTCCTTCCCACCAGGAAGGGAATTCTAAAACCACCTTCTTGGCAAAGATCCCAAAAAGCATGGGCAAAATCTTTCAGCTTTGCTTGAATGGTTATTGCTGCTCTTAGCAGCTCACCTGTAGTGAGTACCTATCATCTTATAAAAGTCTCTGCTATAAAACTGAATTACTTCTTTGGAAAGCGCTCCCCACTCCATCCCATCTTCCTGGCAGCCCAGGGTTGCCCAAGAGAGAGGCACTAACCTGCTGGAGGGCACCCAGCTCCTAGAGCAACCTCAGCACCTCCTTCCTGCAGCAGAGAGGGTGACTTAGCAGCTTTTCCCACCTGTATCTGTTGTAGCCCAGACAGTGATGTAGCCATCAGGATGCTTAAGTCACTGCTTCTCAGCTTTCTCTCAAATGCTCTCTTTTCGACGTTTGTCCTGTCTCTCCAGCAAGTGCAATTCAGTCTTTTAGGGGAGAAAAAAAAAAAGGTTCTCTACCCCATCTTGTGCTTTTCTTTTTTCTCCTTTTTTTTTCCCCTAGGAATTTCATTTTCCATCAAGTGGAAATTCAGCTTAATTTCAAATACTCTGCAGTTTTGAATGAGAAGGCAGGAGAACTGTTTTTTACTGCTGTGCAGCAGCAGGTCCTGCCACTGTCCTGAGCTTTGGCGGCTGCAATCTGCAAAACAGGGAAGGCTCATGTCAACCTCTCCTACTGCCTGCAGGCTAAAAAACACACTTAAGTGTGGTGGAAGTGTCTGACCCAACTGGCAGGGTTTTGTCCTGTTCTGTGGATTTGTCGGGACTCGAAAGCATTGAAGCCTTGCAGGGGAATTTCCTGAGGTGTTGCTGAGCTTAGGTTTTAGTGTGCTTTATTATCAGTTGGTGTGCAAGCGGACAGTTCACGGCTGGAACTGTTGGGTTACAGCCTCTATAAACCCTGACTGCAGTGGGGTTATTTATCCTCTTCAACATTGCCTTGTTCACTGGCCTGCACAGCGTAACCACATGCGAACAAGTGTCACCTAGCAGTGTAAAACTCATGTATGCAAACCCAGAGGAGCAAAGTAATGATGAGTGTGCGGTGAATATCCTGGTAATTGGCTCAATCTGCCTGTCAGTCTTCGGGATGGGTCGTAACTTTGTCAGACTGCTCAAGATCTTGCAGGCAGCACATCAGCTTGCAAAGGAATGGCACCAGTGTGGAAAGAGGGTGGGAGGCCCTCTCAGAGGCAGAGTTGTTCAAAAAGTGAGATATAAGTTAAGGAGAGGAAAGCAGAAGGTACAAAGGAGGGGGCAGGATTTGCTCAGAGCAGCTTCTCAACATGCGAGGATGAGATGTGCAGAGGGGAAATGGTTGAGCACCTCTGTTAGCCGTGTCACAGCTTCCTCCAGAGAAACCCTGGTCTGCCGGTTCCTCAGCCAGAGCTGCTGCGGGTGAGACTGTGTCAGAGAGAGCAGCAGAGATGGTGGTTTAGATGCCATGTGGGTAGGCTGCATAATGTCAAAAGTTGGGTGTTCCCTAGTGACAGCCAACTGTTTCCTGGCTTTTCAGTGTTGGCTTCCTAAGGTGAACTCACCAGGAAATCTTGCCAAGGTGTAAAGACCTACCCCATCCCATGCAGCTCCGGGGACATTTATCTGCTCACCTGGAAATGTCTGCAAGGTCTCGACCTGGCCTTGAGATCCGGTTGTCTGAAGGAAACCTGGAGGGTTGTCAGAGTGGATTTCTTGGCTTATTAATTGAACCTATAATTAAAAAGAAATCATACCGAACCCTAGTTTTTTCAATTATTACACTAACATGGAAAAATGTTGAGGTGAGAAAGATAGGCCCATTTTCTCTATTTAGCAGGAAATGAGGAAAATGAGGCGGTCAAACTGAATCACTGCTCTTGGGAGCTGCAAGGAGGGTGACTAGATTTGTGCATTATCCCTGTGGCTGGAGCGTCGGTGCAGGAAGGAGGGATGGGGCGAGGATGCCTGCTGTGTTCCAGGGGACGTGAATCAGTGTTTTAAGTTCCAATGCCCTTTGCTCTACGGCCATGAGGTCTGGAGACAGGCTTTGATCCTGTCTCTTCTAGAGTAACTCACGTACAGCAACAGCTAGGAACTGGGATGAGATGTTCAGCTCTTGGGTGTTATATCTATTATTATTATTATTGAGCAACAATGTTACCCTATATATTATGTTATATTATAATCATAATAAACCAGTGGGCACAATTGATCTGAATTTTCCAATAGTTTCAGCCGTATCCAGACTTCGTTTCCAGGAAATAAACTCTTCACTGCAAGAAATACTCAGCTCAGTCTTATGCAGCAGAGAATGTCCTTCGTGCTGAAGCTATTTAATTAAAAATGTACTGGTAGAGCCCAGGCATAAGACATTAACTGAACTAGCAAAATATCTAAAAATGCTGTGCAAAGGAAGTTTTGATGCATTTTTTATTTCATGCAGAAAAAATTGGCTTCCTTTCTTTAGAAATCTGCAGCCGTCTTGCTGCAGTGAAAGATAACATCAGAGTGTCTTAGCAGAAACGTTTCTTTGAGGAGAATGAAGGGCCATTTGTTGCTTTTGCAGGAGTCTTTGCTCCAGACATTGACTGATGGGTTTTCAAACACAGGCACCGCTAGAGCTGGGATCGGGAAGTTTCTGAATGGAGATGTCATAAAGATAGGGTGAGAAGCACTGTATCGATCAGATTATGGCTTAAAAAGAAATATTGGCCTGAACAGTGATTGACTGGCTTTGCTGC